TATTGCATTGCATAGGTAGATCATGTTTTATTATCTAGCAGTCCTTTGATGGGCTTTTGTATATTTCCTTCTTGCTGACTGTCATGGATAAAGATAATATGAATATTTGTCAATATTAGTGAGGATACTTCTTTCATTTCTCTCCAGTCCCTACATGAGTGGATTCCCTGGACCATCTACTGACATGTCTAACCTTTTCTTTTCTTTCTTTTCTCCTTTGGAGGCAGGCTTTCATGTAACCCAGTCTGGCTTCAAATTTCACCATTCTATGGAAGTTGGCCTTGCACTCATGATTATCCTGCTTCCATCTCTCAAATGCTGAGATCATAAGCATGTGGCACCACATGGTGCCTCCTTGTCCTCTTATGAACTGAGTTCTCCTTTTCTTATTGAGATCTAAGAGTTCCTTGTATATTATAGATACAACTCCCTTATCAGACATAGATACAAATGTTCCCTCCCATTCTGCATGTCATTATTGGTTTACTTTAGATTGTCATAACAAGGGGGCTGGAGAGTTAGCTCAGAGGTTATGAGCACGTTGCTGTTCTTCCAGACATCCTGAATTCAATTCCCAGCAACCACATGGTGGCTCACAATCATCTGTTATGTGTTCTGGTGCCCTCTTCTGGTAGTGCAGGCATACATACAGGCAGAACACTGTATACATAATAAATAAATGCATCTTTTAAAAAGAGTGTCTTAACAAAATATCACAGACTGATTTATTTCTCTTGGTCCTGTAGGCTGTAGTCTGAGATGAAAGTTGGTGGGTTTGGGAATCAGGAGTAGTTGCACACACCTGTACTCTATGAAGAGCAAGAGGGTCAGGACCAGCCTTGGCCGGGTAGCATATTCCAGGACAGCCTAACTATAAAGTAAAACTGTGTCTCAAAAACGCCAGAAGCAAGCTAGTTTTAGAGTTTCAGACTTTATTCTTTGGCATGTGGCTTTCCAGTTTTCTTAGCACCACTTGCTAAAGACTGTTCTTTCTCCATGAAACTGCCTCGACACTCTTGCTGAAAAGGGGCTGGCTTCAGATACAGGAACTTACATCTGGATTCTCAGTTTTGTCCCCTTCATCCATGTTTGTCCTTACAGCTTTATTGTTTTGTCCTGATTGCTGTAGCTTGCTACTAAGTTTGAAATGAGGAAGCAAGAGTCTTTGAGTGCAGGCTGCTTTCCCTTTGGTGTCCGGTTCTGTGAGAGGTGTGAATCAACTGTACAGCACCAAGATTTGGTACCGCTAGCCCTGGCAAAGACTTCATTTCCGGGACGCAGGCTCTAAGTTCAATGCATGCCTAGGGAGATGGTTTCCTTGCACACTCAGCCCACAGCTCCTCATTATAAATCAATGGAAACATTCTGCAGAGAACAATGGCCCCCGTGGGTTATTTTAAACATCACTCTAAGTCTCTCCCACCTGCTCTGCTGTCACTAATTGCACCAGAAACAGTGTCATTCACAACTGGATTATTAATGAACTGAGGGGGAACCTCAAGCAAATGAAAAGGGGAGTCAGACTTGTGAAGGCTTGGGACAACCCAACCTGTGGTAGGTTTTGTTGTTGATTTTGAGACGAGGCCTCATGCATCGCAGGCTGCCTCGGATTCGGATGTATTGCCGAGGTGCTACCACACCTGGCGGATGTGGTGCTGGGGGCTGAACCTAGAGTTTGGGGGCCTGCCAGGCAAGCACTCTCTCTATCCACGGAGCTACATCCCTAACCCAACCCACAGGTTCACTCCTTCAAGAAAGTAACTGATTTATTCAGCAAATAGGAAATCAGGGGCTGGCACATGCCTTTAGTCCCAGCACTCAGGAGGGAGAGGGAGGTGGATCTCTGAGTTGAAAGTGAGCCTGGTCCACATAATGAGTGAGCTCCAGGTCAGCTAGGGTTTCATAGTGAGACTCTGTCTTAAAAGAAGATAAAATGATTCTAATCAGTACCCTTAGGCAGTGTTGCTGGGGTCATGGGTTCTAACCTGAGTGTTTCAAACAGTATTACTGAAGATTGCTGGGATCCAAAACTATGAATCTTGTCTGCTTTCCCTAGCGGCTTAGCCCTGGGGTGCCTGCCTCTGGCTCTAATCTGGAGGCTGGGAAAGTGCAGGAAACAAAGCCCTTTGTGGAGAAGAGAACCACATTGTTCTAAAGTCAGTGTTGAAGGAATGTGGACTCCAGAGAATGTTTGGATGGGGTTTTCTCTTTGTCCACTCCCTGGGGGGGAGGAGCAATCAAAAGGAGCAGTTTTCAAATTTAACTTAAACACAGTGAAATCCATTGCCCTCAAGGGAAGGCACCCACCACAGGGTCTTTTGTCCAGCAGCTGCCTAGGTTACAAGACAGAGCCCCAGGGTGTTTGCGGCTTGTTCTTAGTGTGAAACCTCAAGGAAGTCAGTTGGTCTAGATTCTCTGCACCCAAGAGGGTGGCAGACATCAGTCTAGGCATGGCCACCTACTTCCTCCTTCGCTTCACCTCCTCTCTTTCCAGATGGAAGAAGCAATGTGAGTCTAAGTCACAGGCCACTGCCTGTTGCGCTCTCTCTCTCTCTCTCTCTCTCTCTCTCTCTCTCTCTCTCTCTCTCTCTCTCTCTCTCTCTCTCTCTCTCTCTCTCCCTCCCCCTCTCTCCCTCTCCCCTCCCCTCCTCTCCCCTTCCCTCTCCCTCCCCCCCCCTCTCTCTCTGTTGGTAGACTATATAGCCTTGTCCCCTAGACAAGGCCTGGCCTGGCTACAGATGTTTGGAGAGCCTTCAGACGCAGGCTGACCAGGTCCTTAAGATGGGAAGTTGACTTTCGGGCACTGGCCCCATCCTATGCGACCCAGGGTAGGTTACTACCCATCTCTGGGCCTCTCCATGTTTATATCAAATGGGAACAAAAATACCATCCTGGCTTTTCCCTTTCTGTACTGAAGGTTAGGGGTGGGGCAGAGTCCAGGAGAACTATTTAGAAACCTGGCTGTGTCTCAGCGGCTTCCAATTTCCTGCAGCTCAGAAAAGGGGTGCCCATCCCGAGGGCTCCAAGATCTAGATCTGGTTGCGCGCGTGGTGACAAGCCCCTTGGGGTTGCGCCGGCCCAACCCTTTCCCCGAGTTTAGGCCCCGCCTTAGGGGAGGAGCCAAGAGGCGGCGCGGTGGCTTGCTACCGAGCAGAGCTGGCTCTGTCGCCGCACCACCAGCTGCGGCTCTGGGACCTGCAGCCAAGCCGGGGCCGGGAGCCGCCCGGGGCAGGGCTCGAGAGAGCGGGTGAGTTGAAAGGCGCCGTGTTCCTCTCTGAGCTTTGCGGATCCGGAGGGCAGGTGGTCTCCGCCCCTGCCAGTCTGGATGGCGGAGAGGGGTGCCTTGGCCAAAGGCGGGTGGCTTAAGATAATTGGGGTGGTGGCATGTGCTGGAAAGGCGGATACCGACGGTGCGGGGCCTTGGAGGTGGGCCACAGTGGGGGCATTCTACTATGTCTCGTTCTCGGATAAGGAGGCTGGTGTAGGGGGGTGCATTGGCAGATTGTTAGCTGGGGCTTCGATAGCCAGATCTTGGGGACGATGTGAGGTTCGTGATCTGTCTGGGCTACGGTCTGTCAGGGGTTACAAGGCTGGGACGCGCGGTCTACGAGCCCGGCATGGGGGGTGCCGCCCCCTCGCGTGGCAGCGCTTGGTCTGGGCAGGCAGCGGCAGCGCGCAGGGAGCCCTGCTCCGGGGGTGGGAAAAGTCCCGGGGGCAGGCGTCCCGGCGGGCAAACCTGACCCAATACGGGATCCCCACCCCTGGAGAGTGTCCACTGGTCAGTTCCGGCAGCCCCCGGCGTGGTGCTTCCCTGAAGGGATGCTCCGGGCCTCTCCGCTGGCGGGCCGGCGTGGGTGCGAGCTGCGGGTCGCCAGCTCCGGGAACATTCCACTCCTCTCGAGTCCCGCGCATCCGCTCCCGCAGGGAGCAGCGCCCCCGAGCGCCCAGGACGCGCAGAAACGGTGCAGCTCTACCCCAGAGGTCGACTGAGGGGTCTCCCGCAAGGTCACGCGGAGCGCGCAGATCGCCCGGGTGGGAGTGAGGAGCGGGAGGTGCTCCTACCCGCCTTCGTGGCGGATGCGGACTCTCTTCTGCGCTCCACTCCCAGCCCAGCCTCCTGCTTTACGGAAGATGCTGCTGATGCAGCTCCCAGTCCCGGGCGGATAATCGGGTCTAGGTGAGCTATGACTAGGACTCTCCCTGCAAGCCTGCGGGGCGCCACCACCACGGCCCAGGCCTGGAAGCCGGTGCTCCCTAGAACCCGGAGAGCGGAGGGACAGAGATGCGGTTGCACAGCGCTTCCCCAGAACCGAAAGCCCGTGCTTGCGCGCCCATGTGATTACACTGTTCATAAAGGGCTCCTGTTCTTGCTGTCAGAAGCGCCCACCAGCTACCCGGCGGCCGGGAGCACCAGGTGCGGCCTGTGAATCGCCCTCTGTGGAGGACCCGGAGCCCGACAGTGCCAGGCGCCGTTTCCCTCCAGGCGTTCTGGGGAAGGGGCTGGCGGTAGCCCGGGCCCTTGGGGGGTGGTGGTGGTGGTGGTTTGTGTGTATGCTGGGGACTTCCATGGGTGCCTATCCTGCCTGCGAAACAACCTCTACGGGGAGTGAGCTCTTCTTCCAGGCTGAGCTCAACCCAGCTCTGCCAAAGACAGTCTGCCTGCGGGCCCTGCACTTTGATCCTCATCGGCCCTCGGTTCCCCATCAGCCCCGATCTGTAAGAAGTGGGGCGAAGGGTAGCCGAGAGGCCTCGAGTGAAGCTCTTGGTGCAGTGGAGCATCATGGATGACCCTGCCAAGCAAACCCGCCTTCAGTAAGGGTTTGAGCGGGGCGTGTCCCCTAGCCAGGTGCAGAAGTGAGTGGAGCCCTGGTGGGTGGCTCTGCCGGGGTGGGGGTGGGGTTTCCACTTTTCCTCCCTCAGTTATGTCACAAAGAGCCAGCTTGCAGGAGGCGGTAGGGACCGGTGACTCCTTCCATCGAGCTGCCTGCTTGCAAGGCCTTTCCCACACACATTCCCACCACCTTCTCTCCCACCTGTCACCCAAATCCCATCTTCTCTGCCCCAGTACCTGGATGCTGTGGGCAAGATGCCAACTAGTCTGTAGTCTACCTAACAGTGCCGCCCCCCACCCCTCCCGCTCTTCTCAGTCTTTGGAATGGCTTCCTTTAAGAAGATTTATTGCTTTCTAGCTGACCCTCATTTGTGGTTCAGGTGTCAGAGCTTTGACCCCACCAGGCCCTCTGTCTGCAAGCCTGCCTCTTCCCTGAGATGAGAATCCCCAGATTTCGTTGGGAAATCCCCCTTTGACGGCAAGTTTCCTGTTCTAGAAGTACCAGGTAAGCAAGGCCAGTGTTTGGTGCCCTCACAGACTTTGCACTCCGTGTTCAGGGAGCCAGAGGAGCAGAGGTCAAATTCTAATTTTGCTGTTCAGTGTCTTCATGCGCCTGGGTCCCAGTGTCGGGGAGGGGAAAGCTGAGGCAGGGGACTGGTTTCCTGTGGGGCTCCTTTGAGTTAACCACCAGTCCTGCCTTGTGAAAAGCCTCAGCAAGCTTGCTCTGACCAACAAACAGCAACCGAGCGAATACGGGCCAGCAGACTGCAAAGGCAGCCTGGATTCCAGCGCTGGTTTTGGGTTCAAGACACCCTCTGTTGTTGACCTTACTTCTCCCAACCTAGCTCCTGTGCTGCCAGCCTCCAGCAGGCTGGTAGCAACTGTAGTCAGTGGGTTTCAACTGACACCCCCATCCCAGACCAGGACAGCCCTGATCTCAGCACATCTTAGAGATCAGCCTTGGGGGAGAGGGAAGCATGCACAAACCGATCACAGAAAGCTATCAAAGTGTGAGAGCATTAGAAATCGAGGAAGCCGTATGAGTCTAGTTGAACATCTCTAAGCTTAAAAGCCTCGGGACTGTGTGTAATGCTCTGTCTTCAGCACCCCCACCCCCGGGGAATAAGAATCCCACAATAGTCATCTTCATGGGAGCTCTAAGGACTGCGTGCATAATAGAACATATAAGTGCTTGGTGGGGTGCTGGTAGGCAGGCAGGTAACTCTTGTCACTAGTACCTCCGTTTTCTCCCTTTCCTTGGGCCCTCATAGATCCTGCCTCCTCCCCTGCTGGGGGAATTAACACCTCTTTCCACCCAAAGTTCTTGGGATAGAGAATGCCTCAGCCTGTCTCCTGGGAACTGGGCACTATCCTGGGAATTAGGCTTCTGCATGACCCCCTTCCCCAGGGTCCCTTGTACATTCCATAACCAAGGCATCTCTGGGGGTTCTCATCTCAGGGGAAAGGCAGGCTTGCAGACAGAAGGGCCTGGTGGGGTCAAAGCTTCCATAGTAAGAAGTGGGGACTTAGAGCAGGTTTGAGCCACCACACTGCCTGTCAATGGGTGTCCATAGACTCCTTATCTCTCATGCAGGTAAGCTGCCTGCTGGAGGCAGCAAAGTGAGCAGAAAAGAGATACTGTGGGTAAAGACTTAGCCCGGGGCTATCCCTGTATGAATAAGTGTTCGCAGATGTTAGTTACTATTATTATTAGTCTATTATTACCAATAACAGGTGGGCTAGATTTACTGTGGGAGCACATTTGATCTCTTCAGTGGCAATTTTCCAGGCGGTGGCTAATGGAGGGGTGGGTACCCGTGCACGGAGAACTGTGTGTGTTAGATAGAGTGTACAGGCTGGAGAGCTCCAGATAGCTTTGGCGAGGTGGGGGTTGGGGCTGCTGCTGAAGCCTAGTCAACAGAGTGTGATGCAGGCCTCTAGGAAGACCAGGGAAAGAGTCAGAGGTCATCCTGCCAGGGGCTGTGCATGGTTAAACGCTCGCTGACCCAAAGCAGCACTCCACAGCCTTGTCAGGTTGGAGGCTTTCTGCAAAGGGTTGTCTGACTGTAGTGCCCAAGAAAGTTCAGGATTAATTTCTGCATGGGAGAAAGAGCTGGACTGGGCTTTTGTGCTGAAGCAGTCTCTCTGTTCCTTCTTGGTCCTTTACAGCAAGCACAGAGCTTGCGTTCCTCTGCCTGACGTGTTCCCCCATGCCAGTCTTCAAAGATGGGCATGGTGGGATGCATATGTAATCTCAACACTCAGGAGGTTGAGGTAGGAGGATAGCAAATTCAGAAACGGCCTGAGCTGCATAGTGAGACCCTGAAGAAAAAAGTTGTAATGTGCTCTTCTGCATAGTCCTTGTGGCTATCTAAGCTGACTGTGTAGGGTCTAGTTCTCTGACTTTGAGTGCCCCCTTGGTACCCCTTATGATGGGTCACCATAGGGTATGCTCTTAGAACCTGCCCCAACTTTTGGGAGATTCCTGGGTGCAGGTGACTGTGGGGGATGTGTTCCTGGATGTCTCAGAATCCAGAATGCATTCCACTGGAGTCCCACAGATGTGCCTTGATGAAGGCAGTTTGTAACTTGATTGATGGGGCAGGTGGTGACCAAGTCCCAAGGTGGCCCCAGGGAGGAATGAGTCTTTTAGGATGACTGCCCAGAATGTTGTGTGACTATAGATCCTGCCTATAGACAGAAGACATCCACACAGATGCTTAACTGTTCCTTTTCCACGATGATAGAGTTTTAAGTTCAGGGTTTGAATTCTGATTCTACTTTCCACCAGTTTTCAGTCCTTGGGCCTGTTCCCTGAGCCCCAAATTCTTCATCTGGAAATACCAACCATATATACTGTATATACAACACACATATAAAGAGTTCTGAGTTCTCCTATGCATTTTAATCCTATGTAAAATGAAGGGCTTCCAAGCTTTTTTTGTGGGGAGTCTACTATGTGCTGAGGCTAGCCTTGAACTTTTAGTACTCCTATTTAAGCCTGAGTGCTGGGGCCATAGGGGTATATTTTCTTAAAGCTGTACATGATATTGGTATAATGTCTACTAAATTTTCTTCCATGGATCTGTTCGTAACTATACAGAGTATGTAATGATCATTATCCTTTAGTCTTTAAATTATTTAAAATTTTCCCATTTTAGATTTAATTACTTGATTTTATGAGTGTTTTGACTGCATATATGTCAGCACCACATGTGTGCCTGGTGCCAGCAGAAGTCAGAGGTGGTGTTGGTGTCAGATCCCTTAGAACTGGAGTTATAGACGGTTGTGAGCCACTAGGTGGGTGCTGGGAATCAAACCCGGATTCTCTTCAAGAGCAAGCCATCTCTTCAGCCCCCTAGCCTTCTGCTTTAGCCTCTAGACCTGTAGTTGCAGAGAATTCTGGCCAGTGTCTAAAGACGTCTTTGTTAGAACCAGCTAAGAGAGAAGCATAGAGACCAGGGAGACTATAGAATATTCTAAAGTGCATAGCACAGCTCCCAAATGTTAATAAGCTGAGATCAGCTTACACTAGACCTTATGTCCTCCGAGGTTGGTGACTGTATCTAATTCATTCAGCTGTGTCCCCAGGTGCCCAGTGTGATGTTGAGAGCCTGGGAGACGTTCCATATGCATTAAAGGAATGAATGAGGACTTGGAAGGTCTTGTGTACCCTGGAGTCCCAGGGGTTTGGCTCACAGGACGTTTTGAATGGGCAGGAGAGGTTTAGATGGACCTGTGTGATGATCAGCCGCTCGGTAATTCAGACCAAAGGCCTTCAGCGTGAACACATTGTTTCCCCTTGGGCAGGTGACAGGGACCTTGATTAACTAGCTCACGGCTGTGTGGCTGATGGCTTTGCTTATGCCAGACACAAGGCCCATCTTGATTCTCAAGTGGGCTGGGAAAAGGGGCCATAGGTGCTAACAAGAAACACCCTGTCAGCTGAGCCCCGTGCTCTGCCAGGCTGGGGCGCAGCTGCTGTCAGCTTCCTGTTTTCCCCTTTCTGGTGGGATGAAGGAAACCCACTGAATGGCTGTTTTTCCACTGACATTTACAGCAATGTGATAGGCCTTGGATTAATGAGGTCAAGCTCCAGTGTGAAATCTGCCCGATAACTTGAAGCCTGGCCAACAGGAAGACACGCTCGCTCGTTTTCTTTGGGTCGTTTGATGTTTCTGGATGGCTTTGGGCAGGAAGCAAGGGTTATGACGGCTCAAATGGACAAGTTTTATGCCCTGGGACTGTAGAGCCTGGTGTTGTCCCTTTTTCTAATTTATTGGGAGGACTTGTTTTAATGTGGACTTTGAAATAACCAGCTTGTTAAAGCAAAGACTCTCCTTGAGGCACACAGGTTGTTGGGTGGGAACCTGGACCATAGACAGGATGCCACCACACATCCCCTCTCTGCCGCAAGTAGAAGTTAGAACTTAATTCAGGTAGGGGGAGGGTTGCCGGGTATGTGCCTCAAACTGGGTTAGGGTTAGAGTAGATAGTCTGATTTGGCAGGGCTTAGGGTTCAGCAGCTGTGTCTCTGACAGGTTCCTGGGAGGGGAGGTGTGGCACTCTATGGTCTGCAAACATTCCTAAGTAGCAAGCATCTGGGGAACCCCAAGTCTACAGGTGAGGGTTCCTGGTGTGGACCACTCAAGCACAAAAGACAGTTCAGCCTGTGCCTGTTTGCACAGCCATCTGCTCTGCTGGCTGCTTTCAGAGTCACAGATGTTAAGTATGCCCAGCCTGGGACCAGATGCAAGTGACAGGATGCTTGAGCTCAGGGAACAACTCAAGTAGCCAGAACTGATGTGGCTGGGTTTATAGTGCTTCTAGAAGCATTTGTCTAGGGATGCACCATTCCTGGGCCATCTGGTCACCTGGGAGTTTCAAAATCAGATCCCTGGGCCCCAGTCTTTCCCACCTGTGTCACAATCTGTCCAGATGGGCCCTGGGAATCTGTATGTTTTAAAATATGCCAGGAGATTCTGATTCACATCTTGGGGGAGATGGGGACTGGCACCATGTGTAGGTATCCAGCAGGGCTTGAATCCTGATGTAGGGTTGTGGACAGCCCGGTGGCACCTGTCTAAAAGTGGTGCCTAAGTTTAGCTTGTGCTTGCTTGCCAAGCTGTGTGCCCTGCAGGCTTGCCTCTGCCTAGAGGGAAGGACCCCCGCTTTTTAATTGATCATGACTGTGTGGTTCTTATGAACATGCCTCTAACTCTTCAGTCCTCCATCAGCTCTAAGTGGGGGCAGTATTCCCACCCTGACTCTACTGCTCAGGAAAGTGAAGCACACAGAGGTTCAATGACACCCCCAAGGTCACACTGCCAATAAATGGAAATTAGGATTTGATTCTAGTCCATCTGGCTCCAAATCCTTGTCCTTCATTACCACATGTGCTGACTTTAAAAAAAAATCTCTCCTTTGTGGTGTGTGTATCTGTGTGGAGAGAGAGAGGGGGAGAGAGAGAGAGAGAGAGAGAGAGAGAGAGAGAGAGAGAGAGAG